GGCACTGAGGCATTGTGGCTTCTCCTACAAGGTGCTATTTGAGCCATTGGTTTTCCTGCAGAAGCTCTGGTCCTCACATCGAGCATTGCTTCCTGGCTCTGGAGAGGAAGACATGTGCCACTTGGTCTCCAGGACGAACTTGTCACACTGGCTTCCTGGCATGTACTCCGACTGTGCTTGCTCGAGGCCTCCGTGTCACTGAGGATGGCTGTGGTGCTTTGCAGGACAGCCCTGGTCTTTGTTGTGAGTGTGACTTCTTGGATCTAGCATAGAACCCTCAACTACCAGCACAGCTTCTTCACCCCACTGGCATAGACTTCCTAGCTTCCACCACTAACCTTCGGGCTTTTCCAGCACAGATCCATAAAAGAGACTGGTGTGAGTCCTTCTCGTGGGCTCTAGACCTCCAGTTGGATTTGTGGGAGGCACTGTCATGAGCTCTGGTCTTCATCTGGACTCATGTGGGACATTGCTGTGAGATTCAGGCCCTTGGCTAAATACATTATGTCTTTAGTGTTGTGGACAGATTTCCTGCATTTTCCTGTGTTAACTCTATGTGGCTGTCATAAAAATAGTATTATAAACTCCATGTCCTGATTCTAACTGTTCTCTGCACAATCCCTGCCTACAATATAACCGTTTTTTGATTTTATGTCTCTTGAAAACACTATTGAGTTCCAGTGCTTTTGAAACTGTATCAAGGCATTAGCAATTTAAAGATTAAAAATAAAAGAAATTTAAGAGGATAGGAATTGTATTTATCCTTTGGGCATTTCATTTTCTCTAAAGCAGGAAGCAAGATACCCAATGTCTCTAAGACACTGATACATTAATTGGCCTGCTTGGTAGAGATTAAATATTCACAGGATCCACTGGAGTGATTAAATTGCCTGGTTAAAATCCACTATGTTCCCACATTCTACTATACAATGAAATACCAACCAACTTAATCATTTCTGCTAAAATAATTCATGAGGCATTATCAATCTGAAGTTCTTCCAACAGGGCTATAAAGTCACAAAAGCCAAGAGGCTCTAATCTCAAAATCACATTGTCCATTCACCTAAAACTTTAATGTCAGATTTAGGCACTAGTCTGTTTTCTGTTGCCATAAGAAAATACTTAAGACTGTGTACCTAATAAAGAAAAGAAATTTATTTTGCTTAGAGTTTTGGTGGCTGAAAGCCCAAGAGAAAGCAGTTCCATCTATTCTGCCTCTGAGAAGGCCACCTTCAGCTACTTTATAATAATGCAAAAAGCAGAGAAGGAAACAGCAATGTATATATGAAACTGTGCTTGTTGCATGGCCTTTTTTTTTAATAACAATCTGCTCACTAGATAACTCACTCAATCTTATCTAACATTGATACCTTCCAAAGCAGTGCCTGCTATGACCTACACATCTTCCAGCAGACACACCACATCCAAACCACAGCAAGATATAATAGTTTATTAGAAACTATTATAAAATACTTTAAAAATAGAAGTCATATTTTGGCTGGGCGTGGAGTCACACACCTATAATCCCAGTAGGGTTAGACAGGAGGCTGAGACAAGAGGATCGCTGAGTTTGAGGTCAACCTGGGCTACATAGGAAACTCGTAGTCAGTTCTTGTGCTACATAGCAAGACCTTGTCTCAAAACAAACAAAAAGGTGTATTTTGCACAGCTTAAAGATATTATCATTACTCACAATTAAGTTACTCTGATGTAAGACTATGCAACCTACCATCCAGCCTTGGAGAAGACTGTCAGCCACCTGTACTCTGCAAACCACTGGGAATGCTTTTGCCTCTGCTCCACCTCCCAACAGAAAGATCCCCTCAGTTGAAAATCCAGCTTTCTCATTCTCTTGAGTGTTTTACTCAAAAGTGAGTTCATTGGAACTTTCACTAATACCTTAACTAAAATCTCAGTTTCTTTCCCTGGTATTTCATGTTCCTTTCCCAAGGGCCCTTCTAACAGTTTCCTATTATCCTATATATTTATTTATTTGTTCTGTATCTTGACCATTGAGATGAAAGCTCCAAAATGACAAGGATTTTTCCCAACTAGAAAAATGCCTTGCAAACACAAATTTCTGAGTATCAGTTAACTTTCCTTAAAATACCACTGAAGCATATTATCCGGTACTTGTTTCAAAATAATATAGGTCAAGGAAAAAGTAAAGGAGATAGGGTTACAGATGGGTTAACAGGCACTGGAGCTGTGTGTTAGCCTGAGGAGGATTTATTACCTCCTTCTGCTTATAGTTATTGTGTTTATAATCACCCATTATGAGCATGTAAAACACAGTGTTATAATACCATTTACTCTATGATCTGCACCTTTCCTTACTCACAAACCAGAAATAATATACGTGTGCTTGGCAAGATAGCAGATGTCCCCTAAATCCTTTCTTTTAATGAATCTCCTAATGAAAGATGGGTTATGCCAGGCACTATGAGAACGAGGTCACAGCTATCAAAGCTTGGCTCTTATAAATGTAACAAAAAAGTCTTGGAATACCACTTTGGAAAGTAATTTTCCATGTGCCCACATATCATGACCCAGAATTTTTTTTAAAAAACAGAAGATTGATAAACATGATCTTCCTGATAGTGATTATATACAGACAGGAACAGGCTCTAATCCTTATATTGGGTGGGCTTAGAGAAGTTCAATTTACTATGTTTGCTAAACCACACAGGCTACACATATACATGTGTATATCAAACATCATGTAATACGGTTATAATTCTATAGGCAATTATGTCAAATAATTTTATTTAATTCATGATCATGTATATACTTATTTCAACTAAAAACTCAAATTAACGAAAGTGGTAGAAGGTGCTTTGTGTAACCTTTTCTGCCTTATAACACAAGCTATGGCACAAGAGAAAATCAAAGAAGCTGGGTTATTTTAAACATAAGCAGCTTCAAGGGCTGAGTCAGACAACCTTTTCTGACAGCGTGTGCATGCTGAGATGCTGGCAGGGAACAAAGCACTAACAGTCTCTTGAATTAAGTACTGCATGCCTTCCTCCTAGGTTTCTTACTATAAAGTCCCTTAAAAACATGTAAAAGTGGGTCACTTTCCAGAGAAATCCAAGATGGCAGACTACACAGAGAGAAGATTAGCAGAAGGGTTCACGGAGAGTCGAGAGGTTAATAAGATTCCTCCTGAGAAAGAGCCAAATGAGTTCCCTCCACAAGGTTCAGCAGTCCTTGCTGCTCCTTATTATATATGTGTAACACAATACCCAAAAGTCATTCTTGGCTGATTTTGCTCTTAAACTTGTGAGGTTTATCAGGAAAGACTTCACCCACTCAAAGAGAGGGAGCTCCAGAAATAACTCTGTCTAAGCTAAAGAAAGAAATATCTCTCCAGCATGTGTGCCACTATGTGCACCCACTTGTACTATTCTTCCAAAGTAACCACCCAGTTCCTAAAGAGGGGCAAAGTATAACCAGCACTGACTAGGTCACAACTTTGTGGAGAGGCAGGCAAATTGCTACAGGCTTTGAGGAAGATAAAAATAATAATCGTATTGATTTTGCTGAAAACACACATCATCGCTCATCACTTTGGTTTTATACAACTCATTAGTTTATTTAGAACACATCAGAGGGAAAATCTTATTAAAAAGGAATCATGGTCTCCATTATTGAAACCAGAAATAACTGATATCAAAGGCAGATTTGATTTTCTCCTTTTCACCTGATATAAATACATTGGTTTCTTTCTTTACCTAAAACATTTATTATGAATTAATTGCTATATAACTTAAAAATGCATATAAGCAAAAAAACAATGTAGTAAGTGGCTTAGATGTTCCTTTGCCATCCTGCTTCTAAGTCCCACAGTAATGTGAGAAGTCTAAAAGAATAGTCATTCATAGTTTAGATATTTATCGTTCTGTCTTCCTTAAAACTAAAATTGGGACTCAAACAGGGAGAAAGGCTGAAAAGATACTGTTCTGTGGAGTGGAAGATACTGGCAAGGACATTAAAGAGACAGACTACAGCCCAGATTCCACTACCAAAAACCTTCAGTGTGTTCATCTGTAAGGAAAAGGAAATGAGCAAGAGCTCTAACAGAAAATTCTTTGTCTACAATGTGAGATCTGTCACTGTAATAGTTTCAACTACTTAAGATACTGCAAGAATCAAGAGGCCATTCAAGAGACTGAACTCCTGCAATGGAGTGGACAGCCAGTCACCATATTTAGGGAAATACATGAAAAGTTGAAGTAATCAAAAGGCCTTTAATAGTACGAACGCCATCCAAGAGAAGACTGAATGAATGCACAGGGCTATGAATCTGAAAGGCTGGTTTTCTCAAAGCCAAGACCACAGTCAGAATAACTAGCAAAAAAGTCTGGAGAAAGAGGAACAAGTTAACCAAAACTCTCCATATCTGCATTAAAAAGGACTGTACCTTTGGAGAGTCAAAACATGGGACAGACATAAAGACCAACAACCGGTTACACCCAGAAAACATCTATCTCTGGGGAACAGACATTTCCTAGGAAAGCTTTGATACCAGTGCTAAAGCTATCTACCATAAGAAATTTATAATCATCAAACCAAAAACAAATCAAAATAAAAAAATAGAAAATGACTCTAAGATGTATGCACAATGACGGAACTGTTTAGAAACATCTCTCTCATATTATATCCCTGCCAAATGATGCATGACCATACATAAATTTATCTGGGAGTTCATAATGATTTTATTCTAAAACTGAAGGACTTTTAAAAGCTAGTCCCTGCTCTAATTTCGAGAGAGAGCATCTTAGTGAGTTTCCTATTGTTCAGAAAGTGCTATTATACTACACATTTTAATGTTTAAATTATATATTTAAATAGGGTCCCTTCATGTTCCAAACAAAAAACCTGTCACTGTCTAGCCTCCAGAAAACAAAAAGACTGTTACATTTTTTCTTGAACTAATATATAACATCAAGGTAAAAAAAAATTAGCAGCAATAATTTAGAAATAATCTTTTCTCTTACCTCCACCACTGTGGTTTCTGCAGCTTTACACATTGGCAAATTAAAATTCCTTGCACTTTTCCTATTTGACATAAGGGAAATAAGGAAGAAAAGAAATAAAAACAAAACTAAGCATCTTCTGACTTTAAAATGCTACAGATTAACAGAATTTCTATTTAAAAACCTATGAGCCAGGCATGGTGACACATGCCTGTAATCACAGCACTTGGGATACTGAGGCAGGAGGATCGTGGTGAGTTTGAGACCAGTCTGAGCTACAAAGTGAGCTCAAGACCAGCCTGAACTGCAAACCGAGAACTTGTCTCAGAAAAGAAAAAAAGAATCTACGATTATTTTTGAAAAACAGTGCAGCATGTTTTTCATTGCTTTGTAGCTATTTGATAAATTTAAAAAGTATTATGACCATTTCATTCAATTTATATAGATTTTCTAAAGGGGCTGAGTGCAAGAGGGACTATTTTTTCATGGACATATGAAAAACACACAAAATGTAAAATGAAAATCCAGTCTATTTGTAACAAGTTTCCCTTAATCTTTCAACAAAGACACTACTTTATATAATTAAAGATTTCACTAAACAATCTATTGTCATTAAGATGTTAAAAAGTAAAGTGGTGAGTTCTTTGTATGAGAAAGTATAGTAATTATATTCTCTACTAAAAAGCAGCCTATTGCTGAAATTAACTGGAACCTTCACTGGTAACTTGTGAGTCACTTACAAGGATCATTCAGGACTACCATCTTCTGATGAAATTTTCTAAGTACAACATCATCAGACCCTGAGGTGTAAAAATTTCAAGAAGGTGTACCAAGTATGCTGAAGACCCTGCATTTCAAAATTACTTAAGATACTTCCCTTAAAAATAAAGCATAAAAATAAAGCCATAAGAAAAGCTATAAAAAGTAAAATGCATCTTTGTTTTGGGGAATACATGTCAATCGAAGAATATCTTTCATAGAAGGAAATCAACCACAACTATGCTTTACTCTCTCCTTGAGGCTACTGTCTCTTTTTCTTGAATTCAAAGGTAAAGACAAAACTGTCCTTGAGAAAGGAGCGCTGTGAATCTTTATCTGTTGCAAGTTGGCTTTCACCTGATGCCCAAGACATCAAAAGCTGCTACAGTGAAGTGACTACAGAAGGAGTCCAAGGCACTCCATCTTAACAGTGGTAGCCTAAACAGACCTCTGTACTAGTGGACCTTCCAGTATGAAGGAAGGCAGTATCTTAAGAATGCAGGTCACTCGACCTTGGATGATGAGAACTATTATACACCAAAGCTCAGTAACTCCAGCATAAATTCAGAGCCTTTGTGCAGTCCTTAAATACTAGGGCCAGGCAACAAAGAACAGGATAAACTCCTGGAAATGACTCATTCAGTTAAGTAATTTAAATTTAATAATTTAAATAATAAATTTCATAAAATAACAACTGAAATAATCCATTTCCATTTGCCTTTATATAATTGCAATACTATTCTCTTAAAAAGTAACTAAACTTTGCCAATATTATACCAACATGTCAAATAAAGTAGATATGACATAAAATAGTTCCTGTAATGGTCAAAAGTAGTTATGTTTTTTTCAAAGCTGGCTGAATTCAAGAAATTAGAGTACCAAAAATTCTTAAATAAACAAAAATGACATGAAGTGCCACTGAGAATTTAACTGTGATTATAGCAAAATGTATTTGCTAAAGATAAAATATTGTTAATTGAAAATGCTAAATAATACTATGAGAAAGGTTTACTTCTGGAGTCTAATTGGTAGGGTTTTCAGGATAATGTAACCCCTCGGCCCCTTTATTTTGGTTTTTTGAGACAGGCTCTTGCTAAACTCATTGTGTACCCCAGGCTGACCTTGAACTTGCAGCGATTCTCCTGCCTCAGCTTCCCAAGTGCCGCGTTACAAGCACGCGCCATGTCTGGCTTTTATCATTTACTTATTTATTTATTTAGATAAGGCAATATGTTTTGAAAAATTCGAACGTATACAAAGACTATAAAATTTTCAATACACAAATATGTAATCTATGAATCTTCTTTATGGGGTAGAGGGGGATTAGTATATTTAAGGTAAATAAAGAGATGTTAAAACTGTCTTAAGCCTGTAGCTACCCAGATAATGAGAATGAAAATTCAACCTTATTAAGAATTAGCAACTTTTCAGGTGGAACCTTTATAAGCATACCCTAGGAGACACCAGCAGGACTAAATAAAATCTGATCTAAATTCTTACTGGCAGCATCTTTCCAAAATATCAAAGTAAATTTGACATTTTAAGATAATGTATATAAATAATAATATCAAAATAAAAACTTTGGACTACGGTAGTCCTTTTTCTAAGAAAACAACTGGTCAAGACACAGGGAAATACCTAGTGAAAAAAATAATTGCATGCAACTATGTACAAGGGTGTCCAGGCCCAAATATTTAACTAGCAGTACAAAATGCATATCAATCCATAAGCATAGACTGCCACAGTGTACCACACAGCAGCTCCACATTTTTCTTAGACTTATTCATAGATACTTTACAGTTTCTGTTGTTAATATATACACATGCAATATACACAGGGCTGTGTAAGACTATAAGCTCTTTTTTGTGAGTATGTAAATACTAATTTCACTATGACCTTTTTGACAATCATAACTTAGGAAATATAGACTTGGTTGCTACTGTAATACTTTGTAAAAATCACTGCAATACCTGAAAATCACATTTCCTGCTTGGTCTGCTTTCCAGGCCTTCACCAGAGCAAAATCCCCTGTAATTGCTTCTTCCAGAATAAACTGCTGGCCATTGAACTCCCTCACCTGCAGGAGATAAAGAGAGCACTTTCAGGCTTTTGCAGAGGTCTGATTTGATGGTAATATGTGCTGGGACACAGGCAGAGAGTAGGGATACAAGTTAATAAAGAAAGGTTTATCAAAGCGGAGGAATCTCGACAGAATTCTTGAGTAATACTAGGCAACAAAGACTGTGAAAGATTGTCTTAGGTACACAGTCAAGGAAGAAAATGTGCAAAGGCAAACTGATGACAGAACTTTCGATTCATTACAGGAACTAAGTTCTACAGGTTTGAGGAGTAGACTATGTTAATATTTTACTATTTGTATGTACAGATAGCTTATGTGACCTGAAATATAATCCCTCTTCCTTTCCACCCCAGAAAAAAACCTATAGAAGTGGTGTACTTGATTTTTTAACAAAAAAGTTATAAAAATTCATTTACCTTTATTCCTCAATCTGTGATCTATAGTCACCCAAAGGATTTTAATCAGGACCTACAGCATTAGTAAATTAGTTTTGAGAGATGTGATGGACCATATCTTCCCACCAATCAGCATAATATATGCTTCCTTTTACTAAATTTTTCATTTAGTTCTTTCAATAGTTTTATTATTCTCTCCATAAAAGCTCTGCATATTTTTGTTAGGCTTTATTCATTGATACTTCATGGCTTCTGCTGCTAATATAAATGTTACATTTACTTTTACTATATAACTTCTGGGATTGCCAATTTAATGAAACACTACTGACTTGTCTTTACGTTTATCACTTTTTAATTCTACTACAAAATTTTGGGGAAGAGAACATAAAGCAAAACTCTGGTTTATTCTTCCTGGGGATCTGTCTCTGGGAAACAAAACACAGGTGAGTGGGAAGAATGGCCACTGGTTTCCCATTCCCCTCCAGGAGACAGGTGAAGGAGAAAACTTCAATCTCATGCCTATCGCACCCCCTAGTGGAATATCAAGATGAGAGCATTTTAGAAAAGGCTTCAAGGGAAAGTCTAGGTACATGTATTTACTTTTTTAAAACTATAGTGTAAAACAGAAATTCTTTCTTAAGGAGAAGATGCTTTAAAGACATTATACCAGTTTCCTGCTACAAAACATAAATGAACCTGATGTATTATAGATAAATGCAGATCTCATTAATATGACATTCATAAACTGCCTATCAATATATTATTTTAAAATTGTTTATAAACTGCAAAAACTTCCACAGTTAAACACCAATTATTATAATTGAGTGTTTTACACACATACTAAGAAAACTGAAGTAAATATTTGCTAGTACAGGGAAAAAATCAAGCAATTAGCTTTTCTTACATATTCCAATTACACACTTTCCTGATATATACACTAGCTATCTCTCAATATTAGTGATTTTAATACTTAAAAGAGAAGACTAGTTTTATTGAACTAGCTATTGTATTCACTTGGAAGATTTCTGCATTTCAATCTTTACTTTTTCAACTTTAAGATCTTCTGCAAATCTATCCCTGTTCTAGAAAAACCACTCCTCAGGTCGCCAATGATCCCTATTTGTGAAAATCCAGTTTCAGTCTTTGGACTACCCAGTCTCTTCACACTCTTTAGGCTACTGGATTCCCGCCTTTTTTCTAAACTGTTCCTTGCCTTTCAAATCCTCAGACTCCCCTGAGCTTTCTCTTCATAACTAGTCTTTCTTTCTCACATGTTTAGTATTCTTTCTTCTCTTCCCCATTTATCTGCCAAAGAAGTATGCTCTATCTGCATGCAGGCCCAAGTCACCCAGCTAGTCTTTAAGGTTTAAATGTCATATTCTGATGTTCCAAAGTCCCCTTCCCAGCTCTTCACAGTCATGTAATTGGAGCTTTCCGTGAACCCCCTCTTGAGTCTCCTGGACATCTCAAATGTACCACATCTCTGACAAACAGAGCTCTCTGATTATTCTATGCCTTGCCTATCTCAATGAGCAGCATACTTGATTCTTATAAACCCTATATGCAATATAACGAAAATGTAATCACGCACAGAGTGCTATTTTTATAGACACATGCAGAATGCAAGTCACAGCGATACAGAATCATCCATGCAGATTTCAGAGGAAGGCTTGGTGGCCAAGCAGGGTGTTCCTAGTACAGCAGTGTACAAATCTGTGAGAGTAAAGCCAAAGTTAGAGACCCCCCAGAAGTTAGAGATGCCAGGAACAAGGAACATATACTAAGGAAAAAATTCAGTTACATACTTGAACAGTCAGAGGTTGTGTGTGCTGCAACCAGCAATGCCATAAGTTCACAGCTTCTCAAGCCCTTTAGAGTTTACATCTCATTACAAATTGCCCTAAGTACTGGACATGTAACTATAGGATTTAGTATTTGCCCTGCTAGGTTTTCTTCTTCTTTTGGTCTGATTTGTATCCCTCTATTTCTCTCTTTGGAAACTGGAATGTTTATGCTTGCCACTGTATGTTGGAAGTGTTTAACTTTCTTTTAGATTCTTACAGAAGCTCTCAGCTAAGATTGCCTTCAGCCTCAGAGGTGACTTCGGACTTGGACTTTTAAGCAATGCTGTAGCTGTTAAGACTCTGGTGACTCCTAGAGATGACCTAATGCATTTGGCATAATGAGGCGGGCATGACTCTTGGGGGTCAGAAGCAGAATGTTACAGATTAGATATAAAATATCCCCAAATATATTATGTTTTTGGAAGATGATCACATGATGGGTGCCCTATAGCTGACTTTCTGTTATGAAGCAGGGCGGGCTGGAGACGATCACTGCATGCAGTTGCTCCTTTCTCTCTCTCCTTCCTGGCTGCCATGGGTTGAGCAACCTTTCCTCTGGAATGCCCTTTTGCCCTGCTATTTCTGCCTTGGAACCAGCCAAACGTGGACTGAACCATGAGCCAAAACAAACCTCTCCTGCTGTAAATTTCTCAGCCAGAAGAAAGTGAATAGTACACCCTAACTACTCACTGGAACACCATCTTCCTGGCCGCTGACCACTGACCACTCTCTTTGCTCTTGACTTCCTTGCTGTTTCCTCCCAGCACTCTCACTATACACATTATGTATTTGCTCAGTCTCTGTCAGGTCTTTCACCAGCAGGTGGACTAGGGCTGGAGATCATCCATTTTTCCAGTGCTTAGGAAATACTGCCAAGTAGTTTGAGATCTTGGTAAATATCATTGAACTAAGGAATTTACTCACTTTCTTTTCCAACCACAAGCAAGAGAAATAAAAAGCTAAGCATAATTGTAAATAATTTATCATACACCTGGGGGACTAAGACAAAACTACAAAGCAGCTGGATTCCTGCACCTGGATTCAGGCATAAATAAACCCAGGAAAGATTCTAGTACATTCATATTTTCCCAGGGTAAGCTAATGCTACAATTTCTCATAAAGTATCCAAATGTTAACCCAATTTTTCAGGGCACTTTTATTGTATATTTCTAAGATTCATCTTCATAATTAGGCTTCTTCTTTATCAAAAAATTGTTTAAATCTAGGCACTAAATGAAAAAGGAAAAATTTATGTGAAAAATATGTCATAAAAGTTTTGAATCAATATATGTGACTTTCAGTAGAAAAGCAAAGCTCCAGATGGAGGACATGGCTGGAGATAACACTAGAGTGAGGGGCATTTTCAATGACCCCTTACTTTCCCCCAGAACAAGACGGCACAGCCAGTATTCCCAAAGGCACAAAAATTACAGCATAAGAAAGTCCATTTACTATATTCACTTTCTCAGAGATATAAGCTCAGTATTTTTGCAACTGCTCACCAATAATTCTTTTCAGCCTTCTAGACAAGAAAAATGGGAAAGTACTAAAAATGTAGTAATGAAATATTGATCTGTGTAGTTTTTAAAATTATCTCAAATCTAAGTATCTCAAATATTTGTATCTAGAGGTCTCTCCTTATGTAACATGTGAGTAAAGTTGCTGGAGATGGAGGAAGATGGGAAGGTGGGATGGGGGAAAGAGGAAGTAAAAAGGATCAATATGCTGTATGTGCGTGGACCATATCTCACAAACACAGTAAATAAATAAATGGGGCTGGAGGTGCATCACAATGTGTATCACAAATACATAATAGTTCGTTGTGTATCACAAACACATAATAAATAAATAAATAGGGCCAGAGATGAAGCTCATCAGTAGAGTATCCTTGGCTTCAATCTCCAGTATGGCAAAAAAACAAAATACCTTTATAAATATTTCAGAAAATAGATTAAAAAATGGATCAGGTCTATAGAACTGATCCTTAATTAAAATAGAAACGGTTTCATTCAAAAAACAACATGACCCATCCCACTCATAATTTTAAGTAAATCTAGTTACTTAATGAAAATTTCACGTTGCTCAAGATACAAAATATAAAGTTGATATCACAAACTCTCTACTTCATTATAACTACAAACTGCTTTTCCAGATTTCAAACTTTATGTTTTCCTTTTTCTTCTTCAGTGCCATGAGCATGATGAGTCTAAGCATGAATCAAGCAATTTGTCTATTTTCTATATAAGCATAATCAATAATCATAAATATTCCTAAATTAGTCAAAACTTTTCAAAAATCAGTTAGCTAATCTTTACCAGTATATTATACATGAAAAACAGTTTCTTTTCTTCTCATTTATGCTAGCTTTCCTATGTGATTTTAATTAATAGCAGATACTAAAATTTAGCTACAAGCCTCACATAACATGTTTAAGAAAATGAATGCTTTTTCTCCACAATGTGATTTTACCCAGTGAATCCCCGCAGAGTCCCGCAGAGAAGGAATCCCCTGGCAGGACTCGGATGAGCATGAGCGCGTCTTACCTCTCTCGGCTTACTGGCAATAGCAATGCTGCCATCCTTGTTGTACTTGATGGGTGCTCCTCCTTCTTGCACCAGGGTCCCATACCCTGTGCTGGTGTAAAACGCAGGAACTCCAGCCCCACCTGCGCGAATCCTCTCTGCAAGTGTACCCTAAAATAAGCAACCAACACTCTGTAAAAATCCATCAAGCACACATCTGTCGGAGACACAGAAGTATTTACATGGTTCCCCACTCTCCAAACACTTATAATACTAAAAAGTACATAGCACCAGAGATTGGTGTGCATATTTTCCTAACACCATCTGCTGAAATATCAATTTTAAAGAGTTTTCTGTCTCTATACAACAACCACTCCATTCTTACTCCACATTCAAATTCAGTTGTTTATTCTTCTAGTCATGCTTTTAGGTTCCAGGCCTCCCAATGGCTTCTTGATGTCTCAAGTTTCAAATCTGAATTATGTCACTTTAGCTATATAAATTTTTAAAAATCATCAAACTTTGTGCTTTAATGTATGTGATATGAAGGTACAGCCTAAATATTTTCATCAATAATAACAATAGTTCAATAATGTAAGAGCTCAAATTGATTCTAGAACTTATTTTTAACAGTTTTCATAAATATTTTATCTATTGTATTATCCAGCTAGAGAAAAAGCTAAAGGTAAGCAAACAGTACAGCTTATGAGAACATTGGTTTAAGAGGCAAAACTGGGCTCATGATCACATTTTACTTCACAGTAGTCAAAGCTGAAAGTGAAGTTTCTTTGCTTCTCCTTGTGATCATCTTCTTTCCCAGGGGATAACACTGCCCTTTTCCAGTGACTTCAAATCTAGGATCCTTAAGTGTCTCCCACCTCCAACTGACTATTCCTTCAAGGTTTCCCTAGAGCATGAACTCTGGCCTTGACCATGTCCTGATGTGGTCCTTGACACTGAAAAGTACTGCTGAAGTCTTGCTATATAAATGTCTTACTAGATAACTGACTAGTGAAGAGTAAGAATTCATGTAAGTATTAACAATGTCTATCCATATTGTCCTAACCTACATTAACTGGGCCTTTTAAATATTTAACTCAAAGAAGAGACTAACGGTGAGGACCTCAGACACTGAGTCATTCAAGTACTTAAGTGGAATTTTCTGTTGTAGGAAGGACTTCAGGAATCATCGGAAATCTTCCAGCAAGCTGGTGCTCTGTTCTCTCTAATGGACAGAGATGACTCTACCTTGCACTGCATTTTAAATTAACAACATTCAAAGACTAAATCATTGAAATAACCATGACAATACCTTCTACTATAAAATATTTGTATGTGAACACTCCAAATATTCCGTCCTTTTCCCTGTCCAACTGGGAAATAGTCTGAGAGCAGAATATTTTTTCAGAGTCTCTGTACATATCACCAAGTACCTGCACTCACCCCCAAAGGATTTATAACCATATAATTTCATCAGCATGTCTCCCTTGGGCTCTCAGATGAAAAAGAAACTGACAGAGATACTGTTTAATTATATACCACTAAGTGGAGGACAGAGTCATCAATTTGTTTTAACTTAAAGGGAAAAAGTTATGGAAAATGTCTCTATTGTCCCTTGACAAAATAATGGATAATACAAAATATACAAAGAGTAATTGAAAGATTACTTTTCAGTAGTTCCATATTGTTAAAGATAAGATATCACTATCTATAATGTGAAAAAAATGAACATTATGGATGGAACTGTGTCACCTTTAAATTCATAAAGTAAAATCCTAACTCTTAATGTGACGGTACTTGGAGACAGAAGATACAGAGAGATAATTAAAGATAAAAGAAGTCATAAATATGGAGCCCCGATTTGATAGAATTAGCATCCTTATAAGAAGAGACACCTGAGTGCTCACTCACACACTTGCTGTCTCCCTTATCTCTCAGCCATGTGAAGACACAGAAGGAAGCCAGCCACTGCAAGCCAGGAAGACAGCCTTTATCAGGAACTAATCTGCCTGGCACCTTGATCTTGAACTATGAGAAAAAAAAACTGCCAGTATTCAAGCCAACCAATCTATGATATTTGCTCACACTAGCCTAAACAGATTAGAAAAGCTTATCTTTGTTTACTCACAAAACTGAAAGCAAAAATTGAGTAAGTATCAAACAGAGTGTAGTGATAAGCACAGTGACATTGCTGCAGGGTGTCCAGGTGTAACTGTAATACTGTGAAGCCTGAGAAGGAACAGGGTCCCATAAATGCTTCTCTAGACCAGCACTCATTTGATTTAATTACCAATTGTTTTAAAATTTTGCTACATTACATAATCAGCAACTTGGTGAAGTCAGAGGTAATATTATTTTCAAGTGGAGTGGGGGGCTCAGATTCAGAGATGAAGGCAGACCTTGTCAAAGCAGAACCCCAAACAGGCAACTTATTGATACTTGCTTTACCCATGTGACCAAAATGTTTGCTTCTCCTATGACAAATTATTCAATCAGTTAGGAGATGTTATAGAAAAGAAGGGAAAACTTTCCAGACTGATCGTTGTAATTACTTGTTTGTAATAACATCAGTCCTCTGAGGACCTGGGCTCTGATCCCAGTACTTACTCTCATGCAGTAAGTTTCACCCTCCAGGGCCTTCAGGCTCCTGATGGTCTGAGCAAGACTTGATCACTATCGTGCAAAAATTTCTAGCTCTGTGATTCACAGAAAATGACTTTCAGGAGTCTTCAGACATTTCACCAAGCCCTTTTACTTGCTTCTGACATAGATTATAGTGTCAAAATTTTACACTGCACCCTAAATATTTCTATTGGAAATACTAATACAGTAGCATAAAATATTAATCCTCTAACAACTAGCAGGTGTAGATTATGAGCAAAATTCCTGGCAAAATTATATCCTGTCTGGCACAGAGAAATGTTTAGGGCAAAATGTGTATTTATTAATAAGTGAGTATACTATAAAAGAAATGCAGAGAAATCGTCTCACCTGAGGTGTCAGCTCTACTTCTAATTCACCAGATAAGAACTGTCGTTCAAACTCTGCATTTTCCCCCACATATGAAGACACCATCCGTTTTATCTGCTTGGATCGAAGTAAAAGGCCCAAGCCAAAGTTGTCAACCCTGGAAGAAAAATGAAGCTTACAATCACAGGAACACCTGACAGAACACCACTGCCACATAATTAAAAAAAAAAAAAAGATAAAATTTTATTAATTTAGAGGAAAAGAAATCTTCTCTGCTAATGTATTTATCACCTTTTAAGGTGATATTAGGGATTAAGATGGAAATTCTTCTTTTTTTTTAATTTACAGTCATGGAAACTAAAGCTTAAAAGGTTATGTGATTTTTTTCCCCAAGCTCTCAGGCAGTTATGGACATAGTCAATTTCCAAATCAATATTCTATTCATCCAATAATTCTCAAAGTTTTTGCTTCCTACTACTAAAAGTGATCTTGAGTTAGCAACTAGGAGATAAATTCCTTCTTGTTCTGTTCTTTGGAGGAATGTATGAGTGCAGTGGCAATATAATAACCTGAAGGGAAATTTGGATGAAGAAGTTCTTCCTGTGCTAAAAAAGAAAGACAGGCATTCTCGCATTTAATAAGATAGAAGACTGTCATACCCACTAAAATATGAACCCAAATTATAAATGGTTATAAACATTTTTCCTGTATCATAGATATTTTGTTTGACCATTCTTAACCAAATCAAATCAGTAAATTAATCACAGTGAAAAGGTTACAGGTAAAATGAATAATCCTGCATATGTTACATTACATACACTTTGATTTAATATCTCTTTTATTTTAAAAGTTGGTGTTCAATTTATTTTTAGATTAATGAAGGTGGTATTGGTCCTTTATAATTACAAAAAAGGTTTTCAGGTTTTGGGATTACTTCGTATTTCTATCATAAATTTCAAGCAAAATACACCTAGAAATTTAAATAAAATCAACATGACATAATAGGTTAGTAAGTGAATGAATACTTTTCCACTTCTAGACACCTTATCCCTTTCCGCTCAAAAATTTCAAAAGTATTTTAGCCAACTACAGAAAGAAAACTGGATTTTAAGCAATAAAATCTCCCCCCCCCAATACTTGAGATCAAATCCAGGATTTGAACATGCAAAGAAAGTGTTCTAACACTAAGGTATATCTCAAAGTCGTATAAAACTTTTTTTAAGGGTGAAATATGTTTAGTGATAAAAACCACAATAAAATACCTTAACAAACAGGAAAAAAGTTAAATAAACAGAAGGAGATATCAAGTATTTGATATTGGCAAAGACATGAAATATCAGAACTCTAATATAATAAGAAAAATGAAATCTGATGTGTTTCCTTTGGAAAAACTGGTAGCAGCATCTACTAATGATGAATATTTTTATGCTAGGATTCAGCAATGCTTGGATCTGTATGCAACAGAAATGCATAGAGTTCACCAAAATACACATACAAGATATTATGATCTTCATTCTAACCAAAATTAGAGATTCCCAAATGTCCATCCACAGAAGAGATAAATAAATATGGTTTATCCTCACCATGGAGTATGATACAGCATTGAGAATGAATAATCTATAACTACTAGCAATAATGGGTGAATCTTGGACAAAATATTGAGAAAAAGAAGCCAGAAACCAAAGAGTAAGTGCTGAATTATTACTTTTATATGAACTTCAAGATCCAAACAAAAACTAATACATAACATCAGAAGTGAGGATGATGGTGAACCTAGGCAGTGGGAAAGAGCATGAAGGGGCTTTCTAAGGCAAAGGTTCATATTCTATATGTTGTGTTTCATTTCGTTTCTTTGGTGTGTGTGTGTGTGTGTGTGTGTGTGTGTGTGTGTGTGTGTGTGTGTGTCTTGTGTTTTTTTTTTTGTTTTTGCCCTAGAAATCAAACCAGGCAGGTGTTGTGTCACTGAGCTATGCTGCTACGCCCTGGCCCCATGTTCTGTTTCTTTTCTATTTCTTTAGCTAGGTGTTAGTTAATTATATGTGCAGTTTGTAATCTTACAATTTGTTGATTTTTCTGTATTATGTTACAATTTTCTGTATTAATTACACTCGGCTTCAAGTTTTTTTAAAAAAGACATAAATACAATGATAAAGGGCAGAATGCTTCCAAGAAACAGACACCCTTATTCACTTTCTCTGCCTCTCAATTCCTTTAGTGCTCTTATGATTCTTCCTCTATGGAGCTTGCCGTGTCTACAGGATTTACTCATCCAGCAATCCTTTACTGGTGCTCACTCTGTCCCAGGGCAGGAATGCCCAGCTCTGGGGCTACAACCACGAGTAAGCCTGGCTCAATCTTGTAGCCTGGTAGTTCTGGTAGTACAGAGGAAACAGACATATAAACCTAAACGTTACATCTAAGGGACAGATGTGCTAAGCGAAGTCTGCATTCTGTGTGCCAAGAACACTGAAGACTGAGAATGCAACTCTTGATGGAGAAAAGAGTCAACAAAAGCCTAACTGAAGGCAAAAGCCTTATAAAAAGTGACATAAAAATGGATGGAAACTTACAGTATATACAATTAATTGAAGATATTCAAAACCCAAAAGCAGAGAGAATATTTAAGAAGTTTCCAAATAGTCCAAAGAAGCAATAATGGACATTAAACTAATGTACAGGCAATAAGAATGGAGAAAAACAGACAAATCAAGAGATATTTAGGAGGAAACGATTCATTCTTAAGATTCATTAGCTATTCTGGCTTAGACACAACTCATTGCAGAATTCTGGGTTTGGTAAAGCAATATAGGGAAGCGTGGGCTGAGGGAAATAAATCTAATGGTGACTAGGGACATACACTTGTTTGACAGGTAAACATACTGTATGAGTCAGTTTTTCTGTTGCTGGGACAAAATACCTAATACTACAATTTAAAGGTTTATTTTGGCTCATAGTTATAGAGGTTTCAGTCCATGGTTAAGCTGGAACATGGTCAGGCAGGAACACTCTATTTTACACATCTGCTGGGAAGGCCCAAGGTCAGTGGTGGAAGCTAGAAAGTCTATGCCAGCAGGAGCTGTGCCAGCAGCTAGAGGGTTCTACACTAAAGCCAAGAAGTCACACTCAAAACAAGGACCAGGGATGCCCTAAAATGTACCACAGTCATCCTCAGCAACAAGGAGGTCCTGAGCTCCTCTGATGATGAGAACAGGTAAGTACATGCCAGGAAGCCAGTGTGACAACCTTATCTCGGAGATTAAACAGCACGCATCTTCCCTTCTAGAGCTCAGAAGCGATGCTCAACGTAAGGAGCAAAGCTCCCCAAAAGCAAACCAAAGCCACTCTCACCAACAAGGTCCCGAGCTCCTCTAATGATAATGGCCAAACTCATATTGGGGAAGCCAGTATGACGAGCTCCTCCATGAGAACCAACAGCTCAACAGAAACATATAAAGAGAACCCACAACGCCTAGCTCTTCCTCTTCAGGTCTCTATCTCTATTTATGCTGGCAACTTTCCTGAGGTGGGTACCTACACAGTAACATGCTGATTTAGTTCAGCTGGTGTTAAACTGACCACCAGTTTTTAATCCCTAACAACTCAGAATTTTTCACTCTTCTGTTTCACTCTCCCTTTCCACAATGTACACCTTGGAATGTCCAGGTGACATGAAACTGTCTAGCTGATAACAATCTCCATCCACCACAGGTATAAAAAAGCTGCAAAATTTATGCTCCATTCTCTCATTTCACAATAGAACCAACATGGAAATAATAAATATTTTCAAGAGAGCCCTATAGTGATGGGAATTCCTTGAAGGTAACAATACACGTGTCCACTAGAGGTCTCTGTATCACAAGATTCTCCTTTCTAAAACCATCTCACCAATACTGGCTTGAGCCGGCCTTCTGACTAGTCTGTTTTTTAAAATTATTTTTCTAACCTATTATAATAGATGGATAGACCCTCAAGTTCTTCACGTTAACAACACCTCTCCAAACTCAGCTTCTATGACACCCTTTCATATCTTATCTGATGGTGAATACAAAACTAACAAAAGTAAACTTCATCTTTCTCTCTGAAATCTACCAAAATAAATCCTGATTTCTACCTTTAAAATCCACCCAGAATGAAACCCCTCCTTCCACTCTTCTCAGTGCCCTGTGCCTGGCTTCCATAGGAAACATCCTGCTTCTGTTCCTGCCCCTACAATTCACTTCCTACATGGAAGCCAACACAAATCTTATAAAACACAGCAGGTAAATGCTCTGTTTAAAGCAATGAGCTCACCTACTGAGAAAAAAGGAGATGTTTCCAAAGCAGCCTACAAGACCCATGTGATAAGACCCATGTGATAAGATGCCTTTCTCTGTCTCTAACATCACTCCATGTTTTTTTCTGCCAGCTCCTCTCCCTCAGAGGCTTCCTACTGTCTCTGGAACATGCCAGGCCTGTTCCACCTGGGGGCCTTCTCACCGGCCTTTCCTTACGCCCTCAGAGGTGTACAGGACTCACTCTCTCCCTTCCGTCAAGTCCCTGCTCCTGCACCACCTCACTGAGCCTCACCCCTACTGAACCCCGAGACTATACCTCTCCCCTTCCATGCTTCCCATCCCGACTTGCTCTTTTTCTTCTTTCCATGGTACACAATTTCATAACATACTGAAAAATGTACTTATTTGCTACTTTGGTATGATTTCTATTATCTACTTCTTCCTAGAATGGAAGGTGTGCAAAGCAGGCATCTTGGTCTGTTTTGCTCACTTTTGTACCCCAACCACCTGCAAAAATATGCAGCACATACAGAGAACTACATATATTAAATGAACTTACTGCTTAATTCCACCTTGATCCCACCTCCATCCCATGACTCCTTTCCAATAAAAAATGAAAATCTCCAAGTCATTGTTTTCTATCTGCCCCTGTGGATCTATTTTCCAACATCTAGCCTGCTGAATGACCAACTTTTAGAATGAATCAAATCACTCTATGTAAGGCTTCCAATTGGGCAGCCCATGGCAGGCACTATCAGGACTGGGGGTGAGAGAACACGGATGTCAGGATTTATATGTAAAGGGCTCTCTGCTTCACAAGTTGCAAGTTAGACAGACTCCTATGCAACGCTTTCTTCCAGTACTGATAATGGCTGGTGGTCACAGCACTACTAACTCCACGTTTGCTTTTCTTCCCCCAGTTTTCCCCTTCCTGCTTCCTTCTTTCCTTCCTTCTTTCCTTTCCTCCATCCTGTATCCCTCACTCTCTTCTTTTTATCTCCATGTTCAAAGTTAACAGTACAGAAGCAGAAATTTTATTCAGAATGAGAGATGGCATTTTGCATCCTCAAAAACCTCCTGTACCTAAACAGTACACAAGTTATAAGAATACATATCTATTATGAGGTAGAATTTATTAACCTTCCACATGTATGTAGGGATACTCAAGTAAGTAGTATAAAATAATCTTCTCATCAGGCAATCGCTATGTGTAACATACATTATTCTTTCACTGTGATTTAATTGGTTGGTATAGATGGTTTACTGCGAAACTTTTGGTTCAAACTGGCTTGAAAACCAAATTCTTCCAAAAATCAATGAAAGGCACATTCTTGATTTTGCTCACTTTTTAATAAATTCGTATCAAACTATCAATTAAGCTATATGATCCTGAAAAAAGGATCTCATCAAGGCTAACAGTTAATACTTATTACTAAGGTAAGTGATATCTTAAGACAAAAACATCTTACAGATTTTAAGAGAATAAATACAATTTAAGATATAACAGAAACTAAGTCTCAAAAAGAATTAAGAAAAGAACATCAGTGAGAACTAGAAAAGTTCTTTACTTAGTAAGTCTTTAAAAATATGTAACTTGAGTGAATCTTGAAAGATAAAAGAATGTAGATAAACAGGAAAGAAGAAAGTGAGCTTTCTAGATTAAGTAATAGCATAAACAAGCTCAGAAAACAAACAAAAGCTAGGTATGGTGGCACAAACTTGAAATCCCAGCAATTAGGCTGAGGCAACAGAATAGTTCTGAGTTTGAAGCCAGTCTGGACTATAAGTGAGTCCAAGCCAGCCTTAGCTACATAGTGAAATACTGTCTCAAATAAACAGATAAATAAGTAAATAAGAACACAAGTGCTGTATCAGTTTTGTTTCCTAATAATTTATATTAGTTATTTTCAAATGCATTAATAATGATAGGTTAAGTGTAACCAATTTGGCTATTTTTTCAATCTTTTACAGTCTTTAAAATCTTTCATTGTTGAAAGCAAGCAGATATTTTATTATTTTGTATACAAGTAGCTTTTTCCAACATAGCTAAATGGACCTGAATGGCTTATTTACAGCCATTGTGATATATACTCCTACTACGGTACATACATGTTCTTCTCCTTCCACAATGATCATCACTAGTTAATGATTAACATAATCTTTTATACATCATCCAGAGTACTGGCATAACCAAAAGAAAGCATTTGAAATATCTCAAATTAATGTCCATCTTGCCTTACAAATAATGCTCTAACATAACAAAGAATATAAAGGATCACTTTTAAATTTTAAAACTCAAACTAGCTTCAACATGAAAATATATATTCTAACTTTAATACCATATTTTAAATTTAGAAAAATAAAAGCACATCAAGACACAAAATCTTAAATTATACATTTATGTAAGATAAAGCGTCTACATTTACATAAGACAAAGCAAATCTACTTTACTTAGGATTATGAAAGATGATCCTAAAATCATTTGAGGTCCAATCCTGACCGTGTTGAACACTTTTTTTGATGCTTCAACATACTGTTCACTAACTGGAGGAAAACTTTATTGGTAATTTCTGCTTAAATACTACAAAGAACTGCCACTTCTTTCAACCAAATTGTTTTAAAACTGTGCACTCACCCTGCGTTGTTGCTGACTGCAGTTAGCCCTTTCACTCCAGTTTGCAGCAGAGCTCCTATAAGATTCTCTGGAATTCCACACAGCCCAAAACCTGTAATTAGACCCAAAAGTAAACAATCTGTAAAGAACACGGTGTTCTTTCACGGAAATGTGTGTGTTATTCCTCTTGATATTAAGAAGTACAAAGCATGCTATTAAATCCATGAAGCAAAGTATACAGATACATCTCAGTCGCTCAATAAATGGTCAAACAACTGGACCCCAATGTTTTATACAATCATATATCACAAGACATCATTTTCAAATCCTTGAAGCATAAACATAAACTACAACAGGTTCTTGTGCTACAAGCCTATTATTGTCCCACTTTACAATTCAACTCTTAGGCAATTCTTTCAAGAGTGTTTGTTTCATATACATTTTGGATAACTAGAAGCTAAAGACAATAATTTTTATTTCCTTCTTCTTTTTTTTTTTTTTTTTTGGTCATTTTAAGAAAAGGTTTCACTATGCAGCTCAGGCTGCCCTTGAACTCACTCTGTAGCCCAGTCTGGTCTTCAATTCCTAGGGATCCTCCTGCCTCAGCCTCCCAAGTGCTGGGATTACAGGGGTGTGCCCGCCATTCCCAGCTCCTTATTTCTTTATATCATCTGTAATTTCTAAAATAGTACTGGGTTTTAAATGGATACTTAATGATATCAGCTGAATGAATGGAGAGTATCCCTAAAAATAAACTGTGATCACCATTATAAAAACTACCCAGCAAACTTAGTGAATGTGACACAATGGTTCAAAAAGACCTCTCAAACAGAAGCAGCAATAAAATGTGTGGGGAGCAGGGGAATAGTAACAACAGAGAGGTGCTATGCTCTCCACCTCATAGATAAAGAATAATTTTTTATAGCGTTGGAAATGGAAGCCAGGATATCACACGGGTTAGGCAAGTGCTCTACTACTGAGCTATAATCCCAGTCCTAAAAACATTCCCAAGCATTTAGGAATATTTCAAAGCTCTCCATAAGACATTCACCACTCTGAAGTTTCAATTTTTTAAAATAACTAGGAAAAGAAAGTAGAAAAAGAAAACAATACAATATTGAGTCAAAATTTTATTTTTTAAGAGGACACTGTAGTAAAAGAAAGGTAATACAATATATAACGAACTTAAAAAGTGGATAAATAATTGGCAGTTCTATAGTTTGGTTACTGTGATTTTCAGGCTTTGTGAAAAGCATAAAGACATCATCACAAAAAAAAAAAATCACTCACCACCAACTAGAATGGTTGCACCATCTGGGATGTCTTTTACAGCTTCCACTGCATCAGTATAAAATTTGGTATGGTGGTGGGTACTTGTTGAAAAGTAGCAAACACACCCCTGAAACATTAAACATTTTAAGTGAATACAATGCTTTCATTTGTACGTATAGTGATTTGGTCACTTATTATATACCAAGTAATGATTTCACTATCTCCTTTTTGTAATTTTTAATTATTTAGTCAACATGTAGAAATGGCATGTATTTATGGTGTATGACATGATGTTTTGCTATATAAAAGATACATCATAAAATGACTAAATCAAGGTAAGGAACCTTACTTAAATCATTCTTTCGTGGTAAGAACACTTAAAATCTATTCTTTTAGCAGAATAGATTGGATTAAGTATGCACTGGATGATGTATGTATACAAGTAAGTACAATGTAGTTGGATACTACAAATACCTGCACAACTAAGCCTTTGCACTTAGGTGCCAGAGAATGCTTCCCAAAAGGACAGTAAGTAAAGAATGGTATACGAAATGATTCATCTCCCTATGGCACTAGTTCAGGCAGAGTGTAAAAACCTATTATCTACAAGAAAGGTTACCTTGCCCTTACTGTAACGAACTATGTGGCAGCTATGGTTTACAGAATTTTTTTTGTCACTTCTAAAACTCAAGTTGAAATCTGGTTTCCAATGTAAGTGTGGAGAGGTGGTGGGATCTTCAAGTGGTATTTGGATTCTCAAAAAGGGATTAATATTGCTCTCAAGGACCAAGTCAATTCTTACAAGAGTTCCTGTTCTCAGAGGACTGGAGTAGATACTGCAAAAGCAAGCTGTTGTAAAGTGAGCCTGCCTCCTTGTACTCTGCCTCTTCTGCACATCTGCTTTCCCGCCTGCTTCCATGCCATGTCATACACACAAAACAAGGCTCTGATCAGACACAGCCATCTGACTGGACTTCCAGCCTCCAGAACTGTGTGCTAAACATACTTCTTTACTTTATAAATTACCCAGTCTGGGATGTTTTGTTACAGCAACAGAAAAAAGTTTAAGCCAGGTCCTAAATGAGTCATCTAGTAAGCACTCACAATCAGTTGTAACCTATTCTCCTCTTTATTCTCCATCCTTAATATGGACAAGAAAAAATCAGATGGTTGATTCTGTGCCAACCAATCACTCGTGCTGAACATTACCTCTCATTTAATCTTATTACACTGTATATTCAACCTGCAAAGCGAGAGGGTTAATAGCAAAAGTCCTGATACACTGCCACCTTAACAAGCCCAGCTGCAAGCTTGAACTTCACTTTTTAAGTCTGCCAGACAGACACAAGGTTGGGAAAATAGTATAATGACTATCATTTTTCTCTTTCCCTAGAAATTAGTCTCATAAAAATGTTAATTAGCACAAAGGACTATTTGAGAGAACTACATAGAAAGTCAAATGAAAGACTAAAACAGTAGAGGTTAGGCACATGACTTTTGTCCATTTACATTTCTATTTTGGTCAAGGTCAGGTGAGGAGCTTCCACACTACTCAAAGCCTAGGACAAAGATAGAAGGGAAGAGCTTGAGCCACAAAGAGTTTTTTCTCTTTCTTGTCCTCAAGTGGCAAGGGTTCTATTTTAAACACACCAAAATACACAAAAACACAATTTTTACTCTTATAAATTAAAGGTTTGGTAGATGGAATTAAACTCACAGACGGACTATAAAATAAATTTGAAGTATTTCAAAAAAAGAGTTAAGACACAGGTAGCCAATCCAATCAACTCAGTTTATACAGGTCAGGAACCTGAATGTTAGCAAGATTTTTCAATTTATCCAAAGCTGTGTTAAAACAATCTAGATCCCAGGTTTTGACAACTCACAGAATCCTTCCACCACAATATGCTCTTTTCTATGTTTTTAAAAGCCTCCTACTGTATTTTATTTCTATTTCATTATTTATATACAACATATCTTAATGGCTCTCCTAACTTTTTATAGAGAACTTAGTTATCATCATCTTCACCTAACAGTGAATAAAAATAATGAATGAATTCCTGTATATCCAAACATCCTGGTAGGCAGTCACTCAAACTATTTCTCTGTAGACTGAGAAATGTAAATTCTATAGAGAGTAAACTCATTTTCCCACACACTCAGACAGGTTTTCAGATACATGAACAGAAGTGAAAGTACATAACATAGTATTATCAAGAATCTATTTATTTTTCAACTAAGAATTAGTGTTCCCAATACAAATCATCAGAAATTACTCATCAATTCTTTCTCCCCCATCCCTAAATTTTTAAGTATTTTAGGATAAGTTGAGCTGGGGGTATAGCACAGTGGCAAGACACTTACCTAGCACGTTTAACACCCTACATTTGATTCCCAGCAAGAACAAATAAGTAAGTAAATAAAGAAGCACAGAAAGTTAAAAAATATAATTTTATCCAGAGTATCACAAGTTAAAAGCGGTAAGAATGACATATTTATACGTATTTGAGAAAGGCTCAAGGTAGTGAAGAACTTGTAGGCAAATCAATTCTATTTATCATTATTCAAACATTAACAATATTTGTTGACATTTGTTATATGTTATATTGACATTTGATACCTACTTACTATTTGCTGAGAAACTAACTTACACTAATACAATTTTTATCCTCAGAAAACTAAAGTTCCAGTTTAGTCACTTCTGAGAAAACTACTTAACCAGTGAAAATCTTTAGAGGTGGAACAGCTTGATTTTACAAAAAAATGACCATCGTCTTTCCAAGATATACTGAGGAATAAATAAATAACAAAATATACAGAATCTCAGTGCCTGGACTACAGAAGATACCCAGGGAAAGTTAGCCTCCTTTGTGGAATGCAAGCTTTTCTCTACTCCGTAAGATAGTAAGATCAATTTGTCATTTATTAGAGTTTAATTTTAACTTTCAACCTCACTAATCAGCCACACACTCAACTGATTTCACATACACACACCCCACTGATTTCACATACACACAAAACATTTTAACGTGACCTATGTGCCATGTTGCTCAGGCTGGTCTTGAATTTCTGGATTCAGGGGTTCCCTTGCCTCAGCCTTTCAAGTAGCTGGGACTATAGGCGCACACCACAGTGTACAGTAAATACATTCATTTCATTTGCAGTCGGGTATACCAGTGGGGATATTCAAAGATTGCAGGGCATGCCAGCAGTCTTGGCACCAATTGTAGGACAAAGAGGAAGCAGACTTCCTGTAGATGGTTACACTACTGAGGATATGCAAGACCCGAAGCCCAGAAAGCTGCTTAGGACCTACTGAGGCAGCCTTTTAGAAAAAACTTTTGGGTTACCCTTAACCAGCTTCCTCTCTGCTCCCATTTCCCATCCAAGCTCTGTTTCTGGGAGTGAAAATTCATGTCACTGCCAATACTATCTAAGATTATGTAGCTGAGCAAAAACCTATCTCTCATAACATTTACCTTTTATCTTACGTTACTGAATTCAAACATGAGTTTATAGCTTCTCCTAATTTGATCTCTACCTTCTAATATATACTTTAAATACTAACATTATGATGTTTTTAAAAGTTCACTAGCTGCTACCAACTAAATAAAGTCTTCACATTTTCAGACACTACCTAAAAGAATTAGGAGGAACAAAATGTATAGTTTTGACATCAGTTATTTGGAGGACAGTTTTTCACTCAAGTCTTCCTTTAATATTCAAAGTATTTTATGTTGTTTTTCCATCCCCTATCACAGTAGAACTCCATTTCATTGTTGGTACTAGTTTCTGCTGTTACAATGGAAGGAGAAAAATAATAACAGAGTACAGAAGTGAAAAAAAAATTCTTACAGTGAAATTTTTTTCTGCTTCATATATTTCTCTTTTTAACATTTTACTCACCTTCATTCTTGAGCCACTTCACATTTTTTACAGCTAACCTTAGAAGTTTTGTTTTCCTATTGCATCTAAGTTTCATTCATGATATCCTAATCCTGAGTTTCCTTCCTAACCTCTGCCACCAGTATTTCCTTCACCTAAATCTCTTTCCTGCCATTTAGCAATCTGGAACTTTGTGAAAATGCATTTGTTTTTGACAGTCTTTCAGTAACAATACACAAAGCATACTGCTTTTTAAAAAAAAATTAAATGATACAGAACCCACACACTCAGGTGTTCTTTACCTTGTCAACTTACTGTTAAACAAATCATGACACAGAAAGGCTAATAGATAGTGTAATGCCCACTTTGGCATCACACCTTGATCAATAACAGTGTGGGGAGGAGAGGTAAGGACTGAGGTGAAGACAGCCACTTTGGAAGGAGAAAATAGTAAAATGCAGGTGAATAATTCACTTGCAAGCTTGCTAGTACTGATGTGGCCCCACTGCCAAGAGGAAGTCACACATGTTGAATGCAAACTAGCCGGCCCTACTAAATTAGAAACTGAAGGTGAGCACAGCAATGTGTTTTATGAAGCCCTCAAGGATTTCTGGTGTTGTGAAAGTTTCAAAGTTTCAAAGACAATCTACCTGCCCATCACTTTTTTTTTCCTGTACTGAGGATAGAACCAATTTGCTTTTCTCTCTCTCTCTCTCTCTCTCTCTCTCTCTCTCTCTCTCTCTCTCTCTCTCCCCTATACTGAGGACTGAACCAGTTATATATAGCAGAAAAACTTTCAGAGTTTCTAAGTGGACTGCAGTGTTCTCTCATCTCTGTATTACTAAACACGTTGAATATCTTTTCTTTGCTGAGTAGCATGTAATGTTGAGGGAAATGGAAAATTAGACATACCATCTTGGCCCAAGGTTAAAAAAGGACACAAGTGTTACAGTTCAGCAGAAGTGAAAGGCAAGAATTCAGGTGTGATATAAACAGTAAAGGCTCCCAATGCCATGAGCTGGGGAATCCTCTGGAAAGGAGTTGGACCTATGATAATTATACTTGAAAGGCAAAAGATTGAACTCTGATATGACCTTTTTATGAAACACAAAAAACCCTTAATTGTAGTTCATCCACGTTGAAGAGGTTTGCTGGGCTTGGTAAATGGCTTAATGATTATATCCAAGATGAAAAAGACTGCAGGTGAGTAAATTATACCCAGACAAACAAGTAACTGCCAAAAGAGAGACTACTATTAACCTTGGCCCAAGGGTATCCCGTGTCCTGGCTTTTCCATCAGCTTCAGCACCTGCAGCAATCTGACTGAAGTTCAAGTTCCCCTTTCATAATGCTTTACATACCCCCAATTATCTGCAATTAACAAAATACTTCTAAAAGGAATTTAAGAATGAGATGATCCAGGTCTGAACCGTACCTCTGCACTCTGTAGGAACTTGGTGGCCTTTCTGTGTTAGTTCTCTGAGACAGGATGCAGGAAAGAGGAAAGCAATAGCTAGAGACAAGAGTTCTGAGTCCTCAGAGTGAGCACACTGTACACCGTATGTGAGGCACGCTGAGTAAAAGTTAGTCAGTGTTACTAAGAAAAATATTTAATAAAATGCTCTGGAGATTCCTGAAGCAGTCTTGGCAAAGTCTCCCTTGTGGACTAAGATAGAGTTCTGTTCCAATAATACTCAGCTCTTAAGACTCCAGACAGGAATGCTACGGGAACATAAGCTTGGAAGTAAGAATATCGCAAAAACATGCATCAACCAAAACGCAATTGAATGTCCCTGGATATTACACTCTGGAGAGCTGGCAGTTAAGTGCCATACGGAGTTTCAGCGGGCTTTCAAAGCTTAGTCCCTATATCTCATCGAGAGCCCTGAAGAGATGGGACGTCTGCGCCCACAAACAACACGGGAGTAGTGGCTGGCCCTCGATGGGCTTCCTGCTATCAGCTCTGCCGGCTGACGCCCGGGCGGGCGCTCCAGTCCGGGTTCCCGGTTCCACCTCCCTGGTGCGCACAGCCATATAGGGAAAGCGAGGGCGCGGAGCGCACTCCACCCGCGCCGAGGCCAGCATCCGCCCACTCGCCCGTCCCGGCTGGCTGCTGGGCCTCCACAGGGGCCCGTGCCAGGAGATGCCCGAGATGGGGAACAAACTTGCCCCCCGGTACCTTCATCCGGTCCCCCTCAAATGGACGCTTTCTCGCCTCGCGGCGGCCGCCTCTCCGCGGAGACCAGAGGCTGTCAGCCCGCTGGGACGGCGCGCACGCCCCGCAGGGTGCCGACGTGCTGCGCGGAGTCCTCCGCCCCTTCTCAGCTCCTGCGCGCGCTGCGTGGCCTCGTCTCGCCCCGTCGGAGAACCGAATGCAAAACCAAGCAAAGGCAGCCCTCCGAAGGGTCGGCGAGACCAGGACCCCATCGCGGGAGCTGATGCCCGGGGCATCGCACTCTGGCTGCCCGTTCCTGGGCTGCAGAGGGTGGGGTTGAGCAAAGGAGGAAACGCGGACACCGCTCGCCTTTTTCCTGCTGTGGCCTTGCTTTCCGCCCTCACTTACCTTGGACCAGGCAGCCCCAGAGCTGCGAGCAGAGGCGCCGAGCCGAAGCCCCGAGGAAAGGAGTTTGAAAGCCGCCATCTTCCGGCCGCACTGCGCTAGGCGGTGGCGGGCTGGCGCGCGCGGCCCGGCGTGCACTTAAGTGCCGGTTGTCCTGGCCTCGGCGTCACGGGCGAAATAGAGGAGGAAGGCGCGCGGGGGCGGTCTGGAGGCTCGACCGCGCCGGTGACGTCCTGGGGCCTCCGGCGGTCGCCGCCCCTTGTCAGCTGCCGCTTGAGAAGCGAGGCTGGGAGGCGCCGGTGTCCCCGAGTGGAAGCTCGGCGCAGGACTGCTTGGGTCGCGGGGAAGGGCCCTGCGTGTCCGAGGCAGCGGCGTCGGCGTTCACTTGCACCCGCAGCCCATGACTCGACCCTTGAGCAATGCGGGGATGTGCGTGTCTGCCGTCCCCTAGGTCCAGGATAAGCCTAGGTGTCGCCCACAGAGCATGTTGCTTTTCCAAGTCGGTGTTGGGCGAGTGTCTGTGAAAGGGGGACCGCCGTGTATCTTCCCGGGCCTGTATAGCGTTCGCGATTCTAAAGGTTCCCCGCTCAGTTTCTCCACAACTTGCCCTGGCTTGTGAAGAGTAAGTTTGTTCTGAGAACCTCGTTCCTGGTCTTCAGATGTGTCCAGCCAGGTCTGCAGTGGGACGAAATCGGGGCTGAGCCTTTTGTTTTCTGTCATCCAAGTCTTTAGAATCATTACGGCAGTGGAGTCTCAGGAACCCCAGAGATTTCAGGGCAGATGCAAACATATTTATGTGTATCTTTTTGAATGAGCTGAGCCAATTTTATAACTCCTGTAAGCCTCGTCAGGTGTAAATTAAGATTGCTTTATAATACTCAGACTCTATTAGGTTTATATGATTATATAGAAGCTGGCACACTACACACAAAGATGTCAGGCATTTTGTTAGTTTATTCTGGTTGTAGTGGTTGATTGACAGGGCTCGATAGCCTTATCTTTTGACCAACTCTGAGGACATGAGTCAAGTCTGAATTTTTCAGAACGGTGTATGCACTAAGCAGAGTAGAAGGACTAAGACGAAGCTCAATGAATATTTTATTAAAGGCTAAGTCCTGAGTATACAGTTGTTAATTTAGAGTCAACACAAAACACTCAAGAAAATTAAGTAAGACTTTTGTTTCATTAGACACTAAGGCAATGAACAGTTCAGGGTGATTAAAATCTACCCATAAAAGCATTTTCTCTGGTATTGTTTTAACTGAATTCTTTCTTCCCCTGTGAATGCTGTGATTTTAAAGTCGAAAGGAATAAATTCCAAGTTATTTAGAAGAAATTAATCTAGCAATATATTTAATGTTAGACTGAGAGGAAACTCTAGTATTAGAACTGAAGTTTCATAAGTAATTCTAAAACAGCATTGCTATTATACTGCACCTTACAAAATTGATCCCCCCCCCAAAAAAAAAAAAAAACCAAAATTGAAAACCCTAACATTCCAAATGGGTCTGCTTCTCCAGTTTTTTGCTTTTACAGGCACATGAAATGGAAAAAATGCACTGGCAGCTTTGTCGATGGTCATATGATTGACTCTTGGCTCGTCTCACTCTGTTGCTTCTGGCTGAGGAAGACACGTGTGCGGTGTAACTATGTCTTAAAAAGTTCAGCCTCAGTACTATTTGGTCAGAGCACACTGGAAATGAGACATTATGCTTTGTTTTGTATTTTTCAATAATGTACAAGTATCTTCAACTTGAACAAATTAGACAAATTCTGGTGCAAAAATTTTTCTTCTGGTTCTACAAAGAAGTTTCAATGTGTGTAAAATTCAATTTCTTTTAACTGTCTAAGAGGAACAATTCCTCCTTATTTTGAAAAGAAGTTCATGGGAAATACTCGTATTATGAAAATTTTAGGGTGTAGAATTCTGTGGTCTTGTGCAGTTTTTTTTGAGAGACTTGAAGTAAAAGTTTTTAATCAAAAGATTGATTACAGATAGCAGAGAAAATGAGAAAATAAAGTTTATTTTGTATTATATTATAACATGTATATGTGTATGACATCTTTTTTGTCATGAATACAAACGACATGGCAGATTCCCAATTGTGAGCTGTCATTTTCTGCTTGAAAGATTTCATTTTAATTCTCTTAAAATACGATGTATTAGCATCTCTTATTATCAAAAGATAGGACATCCTGTCCTCACAGTTAATAGCAGATTTCTGTAGGCCAGTAATCATGGGCAACAGAAAACTTGTTTTTCAAATGCTGTTTAATTGGCATAACTAGTAATAGGGGTTTTATCTAAGTCTTCTGAGTCAGTTAAAAAAATACCTACGTGCTTCACTTTATATAATGGTCTTTTTATAATTGGAAAACAAATTGCTTCAAACAGTTTCCTCTTGAAAGTTTGAAAAACACGAATTTAAAGTTTTACATAAATCTGTAAATGTAAGTATTGTTTCATAATGCAACTCATCTTTAATTTCCCTGTTTTGTAAGTTTATTTTTAGAGACCCTTTGAGTCAATAATTTATACTTAGTATTTGTCAATGAATAGATTAAAATAGAATTTTTCTTCAATTATAGTTTTCTCACGAAAAATAAAAATGAATTTATTTGAAAGATTAATTCTTGGGATGACAATGAAAGTTATGATAAGGTGCTTAAAAGAGCACAGCACATCAGTGATTTTGTTATACATTTAATCTTGGCCTATTACATCTGTTTTCAATAATTCCCTCACTCTTCTTATTTCTATCTGAAATCTCATGAGCCTGACCTGTATTGTCAGCATTTCTATTAGTGTTTTTTCTAGTCTTGTGAACCTGCAGAGCATTATTCATTGTGATTTACTTATAATATTTTAGGCTTTCTCTAGCTTTCTTCTCCAAGTTTTTTCTCCCCAAAGTTCCTCATACAAATCAGTTCCAAAGGCTTCTAAACATCATCAGGTTTAGTCACAGAAGTGACCCTACTTCTAGTTACCAAACTTCTGTTATTCAGCTTTTTGTTGCTGTGACAAAATACTGGAGACAAATCAATTTAAAAGGAAGAATGAGTTATTTCAATTCAATTTCAGTGATTTCAGTCTATCGTGCTTGGCATTGTCACTTTGGACCTAGGATGAGGCAGAACATCATGGCAGGACGAGTGTGGTGAGCCAAAGCTCTTAGTCTCATGATGGCAAGAAGTAAAGTAACAAAGGAAAAGGCCAGTGTCCTAGTATCCCCTTAAAGGAGTGTTTTCAATGACTTAAATGCCTTCCACTAGACCCCATATCCCAAAGATTCAGCCTCTTCCCAATAGTGCTGGAAACCAATGCTTTAACACATGTCCTCTAGGGGATATCAAAATTCAAACTACAACAAAGAGTATCTTGTTTCATTCCCTGCACTGACTACCGAAATGTTTTAAAAACACAGCCTGTAATCCAAAATAATCCCATGGGTTTTCGCATCAGGTAAAATTTGCAACAAAAATATATGTAGGGTAAAATAAAGATATATAGAAGGAGACAAGGAAACTCAATATGTGTGTTACTTTTATTACCTTAAAACTCAGGGTAATATCCTGCTCAGCTCTGCATGTTAATCATTTAAGGAATGTTTGTATTACAAGGCGTGTTAACCCTAAATTTACCTAGTATATTTCATCCTTCTTAAGGACTGAAGACACAAAAGCAAGACTGACTAATGTAAAGAGTAACCGAAGTAATTGTCAAAGTTTGCAAGATTCAGCTGACAGTTTTTACAACATCCAGTTCCATATTCTCCTGGAGCCATGTCTAAAAGTTTCCAATCTTTGCCCTAAACTTGCAGTCATCTCAGATTCCAATAAAAACAGAACTTGGTATACCACCTCATGATGGGATTACCTCTCCCCAAGCAGGAGCAACTACCCCGTGACAGGAACCAAAGCAACCACCCCTTGATCAAGGCCAGTCATCTTATGGGAAACAAATTGCCATTCAAGCCATAGGATTCCTCTGGAATTATGGAAACCAGAACTGAGATAATGATCACCTAGACCCTTGCCCATCTCAACTGGACCTTAGAAGCTGACCTCATCCTTCTATGAGCAGGCCAATCTAAACCCCTATATCAGAGTATATCCCATTAGTTACTCAAATTGGAGTCTTCTTCCTATTTTCCCTTACTTTCTAATTCTGCCTAATGAATCTGATTTATGCGCCATTCTGATGCATCCTGAAATTCTTTTTCTGTGATATGAGTCAAGAACCTACTCAGTAAGCTGTGTTGAAGTCCCCATATCTTCTTTGGAATACCTCCTTGAACTTTATCAATGACATTAAGAATTTAATCTTAACATGAGATCAACCCTGGTAATAGATTTGTAAGTATGCAACACAGTATTTTAACCCGTAAGTAGGGTGTTGCACAGCAAAACTCATTACTCTTCTATAACTAAAATATGTACTTGATGAATAGCAATTCTGTATTTCCCTTCTCTTCTAGTCCATAGCAGATCTCAGAGCTCAGCCATTTTAAATATCTCATATAAGTGGAACCATGAAGTATTTTCTCTATCTAATTAGATTATTTCACTTTAACCTATCCTGAAGTTTCATCCATGTTGTCATAAATGGCAAAATTTCCTTCATTTTGTTAAGGCTGAATAATATTCCATTGCCTATATATACCACACTTTATATATTCATCTATTGTGGGAAGCCCTGTAATTGGCTGCAGCAGCTCCTTGTCTACCCTGTTTGGCCCATTTAGGGATTATGCTAATTAGCCCGCCTTATGAGCCCGGCACGGGAGATTCGAATTACCCTATAGCCCTTGGTCTTGCCACTGTTGCTAAATTACCTGCCGATGTCTCAGAACCCAACTCCCTCCTCCCCCAATACCCTATATATTTGTTACTCTTTTTTCGAATAAACAAGACTTGATCAGAATCCTGTCTTGTCTCCGTTCCTTACATCTCTTGTCTCTTCTCATCCCCACTCCCCCTCTAGCAAAGCTTTTTTACTCGCGTGGTCATGTTACCAAACTAGGCCTGCTCTCCACATCATGCAGAATGCAATCACTGAAGCAACGAGTTTAGCAACATAGAACTAATTTTTCACAAAGGGCCTAAGTGTAAGCAGTAACCCACAGACTCTAATCTGTCTCCCTGAGGAGAGAGTGAAGGGTATTTATGGGATACAGACAGTGGAGAAAGGTGATTGGAATTAAGAAATTTTGAAGTAGTCAGTGTTTTTTCCTTTTTAAAAACAAACTTCATGGCTGTGCGTGGGACATATGTTCAGAAAACGTTAACATTAGCACAATTTGTATCTGTAGTCTTTGACTTTTTGAGGGCAAACACCATCCATCAGACCTTTATGCAAAACTAATTGAAAGGTTCAATGGTTTTGTTCATTTACCACAGTACACTTTAAACATAAGTACTAGTGTATAGAAAAGTTGGTCTATGGGAAAATTATTAAATTCTTTCTCCGTATATACTGTGGGAAGGACAAAATATTCAGCTATGAATTAATATTAACAGACGTGGCCCCAAACGTTCTGAAATTTATTTGTATATGGGAGTCTTTTTACTCAGTATTTTATGGCTAACATGTTTCCCGATCATTTTGGTTGGTCACAAGGTGTGATAACATAGTTGTAACATGTCTGTTCACCTTTTTCAGATGACCTCGTAGACGCTAGGAAATCTCATCCTTTTAGACAGGAGCTAAGTCACTGGTTTTAGGAAACATATGGGTATCTTCCTTTCTTCTCTTCTGAATTGAGTTAGATCCTTTTTGTTATTTTTTTCTAGAAGAAATGCAGGTAATTTAGAAGCATGCCT